AAAATATTTAAATAAAAAAAAGAATAAGATTGGGATGTAAATATTCAAAAAGATGATAATTTTTTTAACGATCTATATTTATTATTTGTTAGTTTGTTATAGAATTTCTATATATTTCAACTTAATCTTTTTAAAGTTTATCTTTAAGTGGAACTTAATATTTTATCATAGAAAAAAATTACGAGTCAATTAATTATAAAAATAAAAAGTTAACTATTTATATATGAACAATTAAAAAAAAATTAAATAAAAAAATATTATGAGTCAAATGATTTTTAAAATAAAAAGATAATTATGTAAATATGAATAACAAATAAATATAGATGAAAAAATATACAAAAATAAAAATATAACTATTTAATGAAAATTCAAATAAAAGATAACAAAATATTTAAATAAAAAAAAGAATAAGATTGGGATATAAATATCCCAAAAAGATGATAATTTTTTTAACGATCTATATTTATCTTTTGTTAGTTTATTATAGAATTTTTATATATTCCAACTTAATATTTTTAAAGTTTATCTTTAAGTAGAACTTAATATTTTATCTTTTAAAATCATCAATTACTTATCCATACAAATTTTAAACATGATAGAATTCCATATATATGTTTTGTTTAAGCATAATTTTTTTAATATAAAAACAAGTTCCTGCAAAAGAAACCATGAATAGAAAATTGGGGAGAAAACAATTAACATTGAGCCATTTCTGATCCCTTTTCGGTGCCTAAAAATCTTAAATATTTGCTTTACATTTGAAATGTGTACTTGCATGAGTTTTTGCATTTGTAAGAAAGTGAGTTAATATAAATGAATATTATTATTTTTTTTAAAAAAAATTTGGTTGCAATCTGTATTTTTCCTTATTTCTTTCTTTTTGTTAATAATGTGTCATTTAATTGAGATTTTATTCTTTTTTTATATTTATAAAAGCACTACAATTATCAATTTGTGACTCTCCCACTTATTGATTATTTGTGTTTATTTTTATTTTTTTTTGTGTAGATGTTAGATTGAAAATGAAGAACACATCAAAATTTATTGGATATGGGTTATACTTTAAATGTATTCATCAGTTGATTTTTTATTGTTGATTATCCTATTGAAATAATTCATGATTAAATTTATTTTTAGTAACTCATTTCCTTTGAGAACTAAACCACAAATTTCTTCTTTGTTTAAATTTTTTATTTATTTATTTAGATTCAGAGTTTGAGCAAATGGAAGATATCTCATATTTAAAATGTTAATTTTTTTTTTGAATAATTTAAATATTTATATTCTTTATGTTTATCAATTCAAGTATAATGCATTTTCAAACATTTTTTTAAATTTTTTTTTATGATCATTCCAAACTTATTTGTGTTTAATGAATCAATATAACGAAAAAACAAATAGCATGTAAAAAATTTTAACTACTAACTAAATATAGTGGGAATTAAAATTAATTTTATTTTAATTTATTATATTATATGAGATGATTATTGTAATATCTGCTATTGATTAAGCAAAATTAGTGTTACTTGAATTTAATATATTAGTCATTTTGATTAATTATAATATGCCTTTATTACTCTATTTTTGATTGTCTGAAATAATTATTAGATAAATTAGCTATTATATATGTGATGATTTACTAATGTATGATAGTTTTTTAAAATTTTCAATAATGTGAAATATTAAATATTTTTAATGATGTGAAGTAAGATTTATATATACAAACCAAATAAAAATGTTAAGAAATATAAATAAATAGCAAATTTTTTTTAATAATTATTGATTTTCTAAAAACTTGTACATCGCACAGGTAACCACTAGTATATATTTATACGAATGTACGTGATTTTATAAGATAATTTCCGTATATTACAAAAATACTATTCATTACATTGCCGCTTTTTAAGAAAAAGACATAAGGAAAGGAAAGGAAAGGAAAGGAGACGAGATAAGGATTAGTGATATAGGAAAGGACACAAGGAGACAAAGACTGATATAGATTTACAAAATATATATTTTGTGCTAGTGGTGTGCTTGTTAATTTATAAAATATAAATTTGATTTTAAATTAAAATTATATTTAATTGATAAAAATGTGTCCAATTAAAGGTCATGTTCAAGTCTCATCCAACTCATTATAGTACGTTTATAAAGTTACAAATTATAAGAATATATATATATATATATCATTTTTTTTTCTTTTTATCATATAAACTATATGTTCTATTAAAGTCTAACTTATTTATCATAGAAGCTATAATATATATATATATATATATATATATATCACTTTTAATAATATTTATAAGTCAACTAATTTAGTTTATTTTGTTTTAAAAAGCCAATTAATGACATTTGGTTGTAATTTTAAATTAAAGTAGTTAACTTTTTCACAATTTGTAACTTTTTTTAAAAAAAATTTCGAACTCTTAAATATGTATGGACATAAAACTCTATCTTTTTTGTCATAATTATAAATTTTGAGAGCATTCTGGATATTTACACAACAAAAAAAATATATATAATGGCTTATTTAATCAAATATGTTTAATATTTTTACAAATTATGAAAAATTTTACCAAATAGATTTATAATTTATTGTAAGTTTTTAAAGCCAATAACCTAAATCTCACTCTAATAAATCAAATTGAGCATTATTAAGGGTGTTCTTACGGTATGATCATGTGGCATTCTAGAGATATTATGATTGATGGAAAAGATAAAATTTATAATTTTATACTGGTGATTGAAAAACTAAAAAAAACATTATATATGATAATTAATAAAAAAATTATAAATACATAGTCTTCTAAGATTACCTAATAATTTTTCTACATGGCTCGGTGTTTATCCAATTAGGGTTGTGTAGCTTTATGATAAATGACAAAGAATCATTTCCAATAGGGTCCGAGACAGGCCTCTTCACATTGGGTGTTGGATGTAGGGAGAATGTGTTTATTTGTAATTTCCAAATAAAATCTTAGGGTTGTTTTGAAAAGTTAGTTAAAAGTTAATTTTTTGATTTTTTTTTTAATTTTTTTTGAAAAAATGTGTAAAAAAAAAAAGTAAAGAGATTATGTGACTCAAAATAAATTAAAAATTGGTTTTTGACTTTTAGTTAAGTTCCCAAATTGAGCTTTAATTTGTATTCCATTTATTAAAAGTTCATTCAAAAGTAGCTTCTTACGTACAGAAGTCAAATTTGAATATATTTTAAAATTCGTTAAGTTTTTAAATCGAGCTTAAATAATATATTGAACCTTCCTTTGGGATGTGGGTTGGCTTTTTAACTTTTTAGTTTTTTGGCTATTTTACTTTGGGGTTAAAAAGTCTCGTTTATGATGGGTTTTTTGACTTTTTTGAGAGAAAAAATGAAATAATTATGATTTGAATATGACATTTTGTCTCAATCACTTTTTAGTCTATTTTACCTTTTTGTAGCTAAAATAACCTCAAACCAACATCCCAAACATAATTTGAGTTTGATTCGTGTTTACTCGATTAAAAACTCATTTGAGATTGACTTTTTTTTCTCTTTTTTTTTTTTGTTTTTGATCAGCAAAGAAAATTTTCATTAACAGCGTGAAATTAAAAGTACAAGAAGATGACATGCATCGAGAGAGATTCGGAAAGTATAAATTACCCCTACTACTGCTACTCGCATCCATACAACCAACCCATTGGCCTCATGATTTTTTTTTTAAACAAACAGTTAAAAAAGACTTAACTAGAAAATAAAATACATGAGTCCCTACAAAATCAATCCACACAACCCAAAACCAAAAACCAACAACAAAACACCCAAGCTACTCCTGCATTCCTTACAAAATCAACAAACCACACACTACTATTCAATCCGAATATTTTATTCACCCATACTGCTACACTCCCAATGCCCACACTACCCAAACTAGAATCTTTCCAACAGCCCAAGGCCCACGCCAAACAACACTTCTACACTCCGATGCTGCTACACTCATGCTGCTACACTCCCAATGCACAATCTTTTATTCACCCATGTTACAATCTTTTATTCACCCATGTTGCTATACTCCCAATGCACGCAAAACAACACTTCTACACTCCCATGCTGCTACATTCCCAATGCACAATCTTCTATTCACCCATCCCAATGTACAATCTTTTATTCACCCATGCTGCTACACTCCCAATGCACGAAAGACTCACCAAACTCATTTTTTTTATTAGACTTAGGTGGGTCTTGCGTGCATTGAGAGTGTAGCAGCTAAAAAGTTCATTCTAAACAAGGCTATTTTCACCCTTGACTAAAATAACTAAAAAGCTAAAAAATCAATCTACATCCCAAACTAACCCTACGCATTTTTTCAATAAAATCTTTGTGGCAAATGTTATACAATCTTCTAATAGAATTATGACAACTTGTGATTTCTGAAGCAAGATTATAATTATTTGTGATACAATTACATATTTTTATGAAAATATTATTTTTTTCTTGAAAATAATTTGAAATATAATATTGCAAAGTAACATTTCAATGAAGAAAGTATAACACTCCACACCCAAAAAAAAACTAACTGTATCACACATTGTTATAACTTCACTTTAAAAATCAGAAATTATTGTGAAAAATTGCATAGATTCATAACATTCACTAAAAATATTTATCAAGGTGCATACAATAAGCACCTCTAAGAGCACCTTCAACTTTTCATTTTTTGGTTATTTTTTTATTCAAATTTATTTAACAATTTAGATCAAAAACTTGATTTGATATAATTCATTCCAACGATGAGAATTAGATATTTTTAAACATATATAAATTTCAAAAATCTCCTTTAATCAATTATGGTAGAAAAAATTGATCTTCAATCCTTCAATCTTTTAACAATTTTATCAAATTTTAATCAAAAATATATTGTTGAAAATTTGATGACATATTTAATGAAAGCTTGATTTGATACAAATTTAATAAATAAATTAGATATCATTTTTACTAAATTCTTGGGGATGCTCTAAAGTACCTATGGTCTAGTTTCCCTATAAATAATGCAACCTATTTATCTAGTTTCCATCGAAACCTCTCTCTTACATTTCGTAGTTCCGTCAAAGATTGTCAACTTTAATGGAGTTTCATCTCCTTCTCCTCTCCATCTTCACAGTGATTTCTGTGAGTATTTAAATTTGCAAATTCCTGAAATCAAACAAAGCATTTTCTCAAAATTTTGTATTCATTTCTTATACATAGATGGACGGAATAAAAATACTATGGATTACGAAAATTTATTTTGAATCTTACTCCAAAAATGAATGTTTATTATAAATATATAGTTAGTGCAATGAGAGTCGCACTCATAATAAATGTAGACTATTAATTTGTTTTTCTAGATAACTTTTAATAATTTTCTAAATATGCAATATTCTATATACAGAAAATTCTTTTACATGAGTAGTAGCTAGGTTTGGAGTGTTTGAGTAGAATTTTCATTTTCACACTCTTACTAACCCAAAATTTTTGTCGAGAACAGTGGCAACCATATGTATATCTATGTGTATGTATGAAATTCTAATAAAATATGGATTAGTTTTTTGATTCACAGTGAACTTTAAATTTGGCAAACGTAATGGTTATAATACAATTTATTATACGGCTGATTATAATTTTTTTTATTTAAAAAATTTATGTTAGAGTGTTTATTGCAACTATTATTTACAATTTATAAAATACGGATAAATTAAATAAATTGAAGAAAATGGACTATTTAAAAGTTGAGAGAAAAATATGCAATATTCTATATACAGAAAATTCTTTTACATGAGTAGTAGCTAGGTTTGGAGTGTTTGAGTAGAATTTTCATTTTCACACTCTTACTAACCCAAAATTTTTGTCAAGAACAGTGGCAACCATATGTATATCTATGTGTATGTATGAAATTCTAATAAAATATGGATTAGTTTTTTGATTCACAGTGAACTTTAAATTATTATACGGCTGATTATAATTTTTTTATTTAAAAAATTTATGTTAGAGGGTTCGTTGCAACTATTATTTACAATTTATAAAATATGGATAAATTAAATAAATTGAAAAAAAATGGACTATCTAAAAGTTGAGAGAATGATATTTTTAATTTATGATTACAATTTTCTTTCACAATTCATAATAACATAACTACGAAACTTATAGTTTGTTACAAAAAAAACACAAGAAAATACAAAAAAAAAGAAAAATTATAATGAAAGTACTTACTTATAATTAGAATTTTTATTTTCTCATTTTTTCCTTGCAAATTTTTTATCTTAATCAAATTCATACAATATTTTTTTTTCTTTCACTTCACTTTTCACCATTTTCATTTCCACCACTTATTTGATTCTCATCAAACATATTATATGACAGGCTAATATAAGTTCAGTAAAGCCAAGGACCCAAAAAAAATTGCCATGAAAACTGTCTAGAACACTAGTGTATGGTTGAGATTTGATTAGATTCATGGCTTAGATGAATCTCAACCACACAATGATATATCTGAATAAATTTTTAAATTTGTAGCATTATTGATAAAGTTTTTATTTTGCCTCAGCTGACACATGTGGCAAGCCATGCAGCTCTGTCTCCCCAAGCTTACTGGCACTCGGTGTTGCCAAACACTCCCATGCCCCAGGCTGTCAAGAATCTTCTACCACAGGGTTCCTCTCCTCTTCCCTACAATTTTGAGTTAATACTAATCATGATTTTGAGATATAAATCTTATCTTCTATTTATCTTCATAAATTTCAGAATTCAACTGATAATAAGGGGTGGTTTGACAATTAAAAATTTTAGTTAAAAAGTCAAAAAAATTTAAAAAAAAAATCAATTCATACAAAAAAATTTAAAGAAATACTTCATTTCACCTTTTACACATTTTTTCGTAAAAAGTAAAAAAAATCATTTCTCAAACGATCTCAAAATTTTAGTTAAAATCCTTTCCATTCACCTTACCTTTCACCTTTCACCTTTCACCTTTCACTTCATATTATTTTAGTTAAAAAGTTAAAAAATTACTTAAAAAGTCATTTTTCTAACGATCTCAAAATTTTAACTCAAGTGAAATATTTTAGTTAAAAATGATTCTCATCAAACATATTATATGACAGGCTAATATAAGTTCAGTAAAGCCAAGGACCCAAAAAAAATTGCCATGAAAACTGTCTAGAACACTAGTGTATGGTTGAGATTTGATTAGATTCATGGCTTAGATGAATCTCAACCACACAATGATATTTCTGAATAAATTTTTTAATTTGTAGCATTATTGATAAAGTTTTTATTTTGCCTCAGCTGACACATGTGGCAAGCCATGCAGCTCTGTCTCCCCAAGCTTACTGGCACTCGGTGTTGCCAAACACTCCCATGCCCCAGGCTGTCAAGAATCTTCTACCACAGGGTTCCTCTCCTCTTCCCTACAATTTTGAGTTAATACTAATCATGATTTTGAGATATAAATCTTATCTTCTATTTATCTTCATAAATTTCAGAATTCAACTGATAATAAGGGGTGGTTTGACAATTAAAAATTTTAGTTAAAAAGTCAAAAAAATTTAAAAAAAAAATCAATTCATACAAAAAAATTTAAAGAAATACTTCATTTCACCTTTTACACATTTTTTCGTAAAAAGTAAAAAAAATCATTTCTCAAACGATCTCAAAATTTTAGTTAAAATCCTTTCCATTCACCTTACCTTTCACCTTTCACCTTTCACTTCATATTATTTTAGTTAAAAAGTCAAAAAATTACTTAAAAAGTCATTTTTCAAACAATCCCAAAATTTTAACTCAAGTGAAAAGATTGTCACATGTTAAGTTACATGTCAATTTTTTATTTCTTACAAATTTAATTATATAAAAACTCAACTGTCTTACTATATCATTGTGAAAAAATTAAAAATTTTAAATTGAAAGTCTGTTGTAGCAGTTTAAAAAAAAAAACGACAACGGATGAATTCATCAATTTGACTTTTGAGTATATGATCTTGAATTCATATATATTTTTTGAAAATTTTTTTGCAGAAGCCAACTTGCGCAGAAGTGATAAGGCTGCTGTAGGGCATATTGATTTTGCTGGTGAGGATCATCATATATTATAACTCAAACACTCAAATATCTTTTAGTTTTTAGATTCTTTTTTATAACCATTTTCCCTTTATTACGCTCTCCAGTTCATATTTGTTGGCTTAGCAGTTCAATTGGGTTCGTGAAATCCACCATGTCTATTACTCTGATAATTTGATCTGTTTAATTTTGAGTTCATACTAATCATGCTTATTGAGACATGATTTTGAGATATAAATCCTATTTTCGATATATCTTCATGAATTTCAGAATTCAACTGATAATAAGGATTTGTTTTGCAATCAAAAATTTTAGTTAAAAAATTTAAAAATTAAAAAAAAATTCAATTCATATAAAAAATAAAAATGCTCACCTTACTTTTTACACAACTCTTTCTTAAAAGTTTAAAAAAAAAAAAAAAATCATTCCTTAATATATTAATTTTTTCACCTCATATTTTAGTTAAAATGTCAAAAAATAACTTAAAAAGTCATTTTTCAAAAGATTCCAAAATTTTAACTCAAATAAAAAGACTGTCACATGTCAATTTTTTATTTCCACAAACTTAATTATATGAAACTCAAATTTTTTACTATATAATTGTGAAAAAATAAAAAATAAATAAATTGAAAGTCTCTAGCAATTTTTTTTTAAAAAAAAAAAAACCAACAAATGATGAATTCATCAATTTGACTTTTGAGTATATATATATATATATTTTGAAAAAACTTTTGCAGAAGCCAACGTGCGCCTTATTTTGTTAGTGAGGATCATCAACTACATCATCAAACACTCAAATATCTTTTAGTATTTACTTATTTTTTGAAAAACCATTTTCTTTTTATTATTGTCTTCAATTCATATTTGTAGGCTTGGCAATTCAACTGGGTTCATGAAATCCACCACGTGTCTCACTCTAATAATTTGATCTGTTTAATTTAGAGATTTTTATGCGTCATTCATGGGTTCATATTTGTAGTGACTTTTTTTTTCATCATATTTGCCTTCAAAGAAATAGATAATAAGTATAATTTTACAAATAGATCGTTAATTTTTGTAAGGCAAATATGACGAAATAATATGACTATGTCTACCAAAGCAACATATATATTTATTTTCTAAGGGGGATAGTTTTGTTTGGGAAGTGTGTTGGCTTTTTGGCTTTTTAACTTTTTTGGCTATTTTAGCATGGACTAAAAAGCTTGGTTTGGGAAGGACTTTTTTGACTTTTTGGTTTTTTTGTCTTTTTTTGTAAGAAAAGAGTGTAATAATTATGGGTTGGATGTGATATTTTATTTGTTGTGGCTAAAATAGCTTATTTTATCTTTTGTGGCTAAAATAGCCAAAACCATCTTTCCAAACGGGAGTAGGAACAAGGGTTCACCAATAAGCTCTCTTGACTTTTTCATACACTAAAAAGTTCTATTAACTTTTAATTACTAAAACAAACTCCTATTTTTTATTTTTTTAGCAACGTTTTGTATTAAAAGTGTCATTAATTGTTAATTTTAACGACAATTTAAAAATTTTATTGCGAAAACCTCACTAGTAAACATTTTTTAGCGACAGATTTAGAAAAACATCACTATTTATTAGTTTTTAGGATTTTTGGTCTATACAACTACTTATGAAACTTAATACTACACAAGTCCTTGTAACAGGACATGTGAGTAATTAATCTTATTTTTTAATGATCTATATAGAATGACCTACAAATAAAATGATTGGATCATCTGACCTAATTAGACCATTCACAAATGTGGACTAGGGACAATTTCCTTGCTTTTTTAACTAATCATGAAATTTCAAGCCTTGTTGAGCCTTCGTGGACATTCAAGTTTGCCATTCTTCCCAAGTGGATTAACAATGTTTCAAAGAAACTAAAGATCCAAGAAGGGTTTTATTACTTTTAGAAGTCCTCACTTGGTTATAGATCTCAATGATAAACACTATTATTCGAAGATAATTTTTATTTAGTCTAGATGGAAATTTGTTAGTCTAACCATATGGATAGTTTTTATTTAACATAATTCTTATTTGATAATTAATCTAAAAATAGATGTAAAACATGTAAATACAAGATATAAATCAAGAAATAACAAATCGAAAGTGATAAAACTATTTACTACATGAGAAGACATCAACAACAAAAAAAAGAAAAAAAAAATTAAAGTAAAATAAGATGAAAGAGCCAATATGATAAAAGTCATTAGTCTAATAACATTATAAAAAGAAGCAAGTCAAAACTAGCTAAAAACGTACTAGTTTCATGGTAGTATGCTACAACATGAAGATAGTATCACATACTATAAGAGAAAATTCTAACATATAAGTTTACAGTTTTTATTTTATTTTATTTTAGTTTTTATAAAAAAAAAAAAAAAATCTCTACTACTAATACGGTTAAAAAGGGTGAAAATGATGAACACAAACACTCGAATATCTTTATATAAAACCAAAATTTTAACTCAAATAAATAATAAGATTGTCACATGTCAAGTTACGTGCCAATCTTTGATTTCTCACAAACTTAATTATATAAAACCTAACTTTCTTATGTGTGAAAATTAAAATTTTAAATTGAGAGTCTCTAGCAATTCAAAGAAAAATACAAATGATGAATTCATCAATTTGACTTCTGAGTATATGGATCTTGAATTTATATGTTTTATTTGTTTTTTGCTTTTATTGAAAAAACTTTTGCAGAAGCCAACATGCACGGAGGGGATAAGGATGCAAGAGCGATTATTTACAACATAGGCAAAGGGAATAAGGATGCAAGAGCGATTATTTATAATGTGGGCAGAGAAGATAAGGATGCAAGAGCGATTATTTACAATGTGGACAGAGAAGATAAGGATGCAAGAGCGATTATCTATTTTGCTGGTGAGGATCATCAACTACATTATAAATAAAACACGTAAATATCTTTTAATTTATTTTTTTACACTATTATTGTCTAAAATTCATATTTGTAGACTCAACAGTTCAATTGGGTTTATGAAATCCACCACTTGTCTCATTCTGATAATTTGATCTGTTTAATTTCTAAGTTTTATGTGTAGGTTGTTCATTGAAAAAAAAAAATATTAGACAAATGTAGTGACTTTATTTAGTTAAAATTTTATTTCAAAATAACCTTGAAATATTAATTTTATCATTCGAAATATTGAAACCATGCCTTTAAAATGAGTGTAATATTAAACACATTTAACAAAAAATTAAAAATTAAACATTTATTAATGAACAAAAAATTATATAATTTATTAGTTACTGGTTGGAGTGTCTGAATTCATCAGCACCATTATGAAGATTTGTTAATTTTAATGAACAAACATTTATTAATTTTGTTAATTTACATAATTTTGAATAGTTAATTTTGGAAGGAAATATTTAGAGAAGAAAATAAAATACTATATATGAAAAAATACTATATATTCAATTTTTGAATAGTAAAATACTATATATTCAATTTTTGAATAAAAAAATTTATTTTCATCCTCTGGTTGAAAATATTGGGTTGGGGATGCTGGTAGACAACCTATACCTCATTTTCAATTAATCATGAAATTCCTGGCCTTGTTGAGCTTTCACAAAGTAGATCATCTAAAATATGTAAATACAAGATATAAATCAAGAAATAACAAATCGAAAGTGATAAAACTATTTACTACATGAGAAGATAACAAAAGAAAAAAAATGATAGAAAAAAAAGATGAAAGAGCCAATATGATAAAAGTCATTAGTCTAATAACATTACAAAAAGTAGCAAGTCAAAACTAGCCAAAAACGTACTAGTTTCATGGTAGTATGGTACAACATGAAGATAGTATCACATATACTATAAAAGAAAATTCTAACATATAAAGTTTACAATTTAAAAAAAAAAAAAAATTAAAAAACCTCTAGTAATAATACGGTTAAAAAGGGTGAAAATTATGAACACAAACACTCAAACATCTTTATATAAAACCAAAATTTTAACTCAAGTAACAAGATTGTCACATGTAAAGTTACGTGTGAATCTTTAATTTCTCACCAACTTAATTATATAAAACTCAACTTTCTTATGTGTAAAAATTAAAATTTTAAATTGAGAGTCTAGCAATTCAAAGAAAAAAGAACCCTACAAATGATGAATTCATCAATTTTACTTTTGAGTATATGGATCTTGAAGTTATATGTTTTATTTGTTTTTTGGTTTTTTTTTTTATTATTGAAAAAACTTTTGCAGAAGCCAACGTGCGCAGAGAAGATAAGGATGCAAGAGCAATTATTTACAACGTGGGCAGAGAGGATAAGGATGCGAGAGCAATTATTTACAATGTGGGCAAAGGGGATAAGGATGCAAGAGCGATTATTTACAACGTGGGCAGATGGGATGAGGATGCAAAAACGATTATTTATTTTGCTGGTGAGGATCATCAACTACATTATAAATAAAACACTCAAATATCTTTTATTTTATTTTTTTACACTATTATTGTCTCAAATTCATATTTGTAGACTCAACAGTTCAATTGGATTTATGAAATCCATCACATGTCTCACTCTGATAATTAATGTTTAATTTCTAAGTTTTTATGTGTAGGTCGTTCATTGGAGAAAAAAAGAAAAAAGATTAGACAAATGTAGTGACTTTATTTAGTTAAAATTTTATTTCAAAATAACTTTCGAAATATTAAATTTATCATTCAAAATATTGAAACCATACCTTTAAAATGAGTGTAATGTTAAATATATTTAACAAAAAATTCAAAATTAAAAATTTATTAATGAACAAAAAATTATATAATTTGTTAGTTACTGGTTGGAGAGTCTGAATTCATCACCACCATTCTGAAGATTTGTTAATTTTAATGAACAAACATTAATTAACTTTGTTAATTTACATAATTTTGAATAGTAAATTTTGGAAGGAAATATTTAGAGAAGAAAATAAAATACTATATATGAAAAAATACTATAGATATTCAATTTTTGAATAGTAAAATACTATATATTCAATTTTTGAATAAAAAAGTGGAGATTTTTTTTTTAAGGTTCCTGATATTAAGATTTTATAACATAAAGCACACCCAGCTGGTAGACAACTATACCTCCTTTTCAATTAATCATGAAATTCCAAGCCTTGTTGAGCTTTCACAAAGTAGATCCTAATCATACAAATCAACTCAATAAAATCCTTCAGGCTGGCTTAAACACAAGAAAATCATTTTTCTTAATTAATGTAAATGGCCTTTCTAATTAAATTCAACACAGAAACGAATTTATCTTGTCTTTTTTGTCTTTTTTAATTTTTTTTATTGAAAAAACTTTTGCAGAAGCCAACATTAATCGTCAACTACATTATAACCCCAATGAAACAATATATTTCTTGGAGGAGGACATCAAACAAGGCACAGAGATGAACTTGGACCTCTCTAAAGAAGCAAATGGAGTATCATTCTTACCTCGAACAGTTGCTCAGTCGATGCCCTTTTCATCGAACGAGTTTCCTAAAATTCTGAACCAGTTTTCTGTGAAACCCAATTCAGCAGAAGCCAAGATTATGAAAAAAACAATCGAAGTTTGCACAGAGATGCCTGCCTTTAAAGGAGAGCAGAAATATTGTGCAACTTCGTTAGAGTCGATGATTGATTTCTGCACTTCCATGCTTGGCAAAAGAGTCAAGGCATTGTCGACAGAGTTGGAAAAAGAGACTCAATTGAGGAAGTATAGTGTTGTGGGATTCAAGAAGATTGGTGGTGGTGAAGTGGCAGTGTGTCATATGCTCAAGTATCCATATGCGGTGTTTTCCTGCCACAACGTGCACTCAACCAAAGTGTATATGGTTTCATTGGAAGGTGCGGAGGATGGTGGGACAAAGGCGAAAGGTGTGGCGGTGTGTCATACAGATACGGCAGCATGGAGTCCCAACTTCGAGGCTTTTCAAATGCTCAACGTCAAACCAGGAACTGTCCCTATTTGCCATATTCTTCCTGAAGATAATATTGTCTGGCTTCCTAACTAAATCTGTCTATATATATTGTGGTTTTAAATAATGTGTCGGCATATATATCGATATCAGTGATATGGTTACATATCGACTAATATCAAACAGTATTGACTGATATATTAATAAATAACAGTATCGAAAGTCCCAAATCTCGATACATAACAACAATATTTAAAACCTATATGTATATAATCGATGCCTATTATATAGTTCCATATGTTTGTTTGTGTAATTGTTTAATGTTTACTATATATTAATTAATAACTTCAACCAACTTTATATGCTTATGAATAAATGTATTCTGCAGCTTGTTGAAATGTTTATCGAATCATATTTCTCGGTAAGAGATATCTGTTTTGTTCCCAACGTCTTACCAAAAATAAAAAATAAAAACAACAAAGTCTGACAAGAAGTAGCCCTGAAAGTGACTTGGAAAGAAACCCCCAATCAATGTGAAATAACAGCAAAATTTAGTTGAAAGTAGAAAGGGAAAATCCCATGAATCTTGCAGAATTGTAGTTGTATTACTCTGGATATGTTTGTTCTAATGCATACGTAGCTCGCTACTACAAACTTCAACAATTTCATGTTACCAAATCATGAAATCAGCAAGCCGGAAAAAAAGTCTTCCTAGACAACAGTTTCTCGAGGAAAATGAACGATAAAAGATGAGAAATGAAATTAAAAGTTAATGACAACATGTGAAATACTACAATCTCTTGCGACACAAAATGGGCAAGTAACAAGAATAGTGACAATCATATACAATTTAAATATCACCAATGATTGCAAAAGTTGTTCATGTTATCATGGCTTCACAAATGAGCAAATGAACAAATCTCTCTCTCTCTCTCTCTCTCTCTCTCTCTCTCTCATTGTACACATTTTGGATAAGAGGTAGAAGCATCTAAACAAAATGATAATTGTTTGACTATGGATGCTAAGCAATGCTAGAGTTTCACATATAAAGAATGAAACAATTGCAAACCGCGTGGGGAGGAAAAGGCGGGAGAAAACAAACTTTTTATAATAATTACGTGTATTAAATCTCCTCAGCATCCAGCGGCTTTGAGGAATTTGTCGTAGGGACTCGAAGGCGGAAGTCTGAGAGACTGTTGCTGCCCATACTCGAGTGAACAAGCAAGAACCTTCTCTCCTCCTCTTTGAACTGGCTCAATGTTTATCAACTTGAGATCCTCTTCTGAAAGCTCCATTGTCTGAAAGAGAAGCCCACAAAGAAAACTTCAAAAATACTTCTCATGTGAGAAAATACAAAAAAATCTAGCCTCGTGTTGCATTTTAAATTCCAATAATAGACAACGGCAGACAGATGTCGCATTCCTAGTCTGAGAACTGAGGTTTGGGCAGAAATTTATTTTATTCCATAAAAGAGAGTTCAGCTTCTGGTTTTTTTTTTTTTTTTAAAAAAAAAAAAATAGTTGGGAACCTTTGAAGTGGGCAACAACTCCATAATAGCTCTGACAACAATAAAAGGGGGGCAAAAGAAAAAGGGATTGAATATAGTCAACGATACCATGAGCAATCCTTGTTTTTAATGTCTACTAGAAGGTGCACACCCACAAGGGTGTTCTTGAAATCGGCTTGAAGGATCCATGGGTGTGCTTGAAATTGGCAGTTGCAGTTACAAAAGGGTAGTTTAGGAATAACAAAAGTTGTGACAAAATTATTCATACTAAATTCAGTGTACACTTTATATAATAGTATAGAAAAGTAATACAGAAACCTACTTTTTGACAAAACAAGGCGAGACTAATGCCCACATATGATCCCATGGCCAACCAAAATGATTTAAATGTCATAATGAAGGTTAATGGTATTGTCCAAGACCTTCTAATGAATGAGTTCATAATTCTCCTAAGCTTTGATAGTTTTTTTAAAAAGTAAGGAGGGGTAGGTATAAATTCAGAAACTATTTTACCAGCAATGACGAAGAATCAATTTCTCTTCTTCATAAGAAAATAACAAGAAGGTGGGGAAATAAAGAACAAAACAAATTCTCACCACATTTGGCATTTTATTTTCTTGTTCATTGGCAAGAACTATAGCCTTCGCATCCTGTTGTAGCTTGAAACTCTGAAGAACTGACATCTTCTGCTGTTTACCCATTACAAGAGACTCGCACTGATTCTTCACTTGGTCGTAAGGAATGGGTGTAGAGGACACTGGTAAGCTTGCAACTTGCCTGGCTGTTTCCAGAACCTGTTGGTGATTTAAACCCATATTATATTTCATGGATATGAGACTGATACAAACCTTTTCCATAAAAAGAATGAAAGTTGAAACCATAGAAAATGAATACATGACCTACAGAGGCTATGAAGTTCAAATTGTCAATCAGAAGCTATGAAACAAACCTTTGTTTCTCTATAACATTCTCCTATAACTAGATATTAATGTCTTCTTACATTGTTTAATCTGACGGTGAGAATCAATTTCAATTGCTACATTCATGCAGCACTTTTATAGTTTCAAGTTTGCATCCCACATGATTGAGTAAACATGAACATATATGTCATAAAACCATGTTCATTTCTATTGATACTAATTTTAGTGACCCTTGGTTTTATTATCTTATGCAGTCGAGTGATTTAAGTCATTGGACGGTTAGAACATTGTTTAACTACCTTACTAGCTTGTTATTGGTCCTCCCCATGAGCTTCTATTTATACCAAGTTTCATGAGCATATAAACACATTGACCATTCTACCCAATATTCAAAATAAGAGTCTCATAATATATTCAAGCAAATGAAAACCCGTAAGCAACGATTGAAGATATGGCTTTTTTGGCCATCAGCACCTTTGGAGCTGATTAATATGCATTTTTAATTAAAAGTTTCAGGTAGTTGGAACAAATTTCAAATTATCATTTTCTTAACCAGAACAATACAGATCAGGTTGATAGACACCAAAAGTTACAAGAGCATAAACTGTAGTAACTAGCAGAAATGGGACACCTGAAAGACTCCACATTGCTTTCATTTCTACAAAGTACACATCTTAGATTCAACTATGTAAGAAATATCACAACAAATAATTAAAAAAAGAAATGAAAAAACTTACAGATTCCAAGAGCTGGTTAACACTTAGAATGTCAAGTGAATTGATGGAAAGTGATGTTTTGCGACCTGATTGGCTTCCATTTGGTTCAGGGAAGGATTCATCATCTGTCAAGGCATCTAGAGGCATGACCTGAATGAAACCAAATCATGGAAGTCAAAGTCTGTCACATATAATGTATGCCATACCCAACAAAGCTGGAAATATAACGTGGCCAAACATTACCTCATCAAATGCCTGAGCCTCCATCTGGGCAAGTGGAGAAGGCGGCCGAGGTGTCTCCAAGAATAATGGAGCTCCCATTGGATATGCATCATCAGGTGAAAATCCCTCCAAAAGTTGCTTCCTTATGCCCGATAATTCATCCTGGAGAACAAATATAACATATAACTTCAAACAAAAATTGTTACAAAAACTCTTACACGAACAAAATCTTGGAAGGTTAAAAAATGAAATGATCACCAACCTACTTCAGTGGTGTGGTGGAGTGTGTGGGAGCAGCGTACCTTTAATCAAACAAAAATTTTATTCATTTTTAGTCCCTGCCCTAGGCTATTTAAAAAGCTTAATAGATGAGGTGATCAATGACATCACCTACTTCAGCAGTGTGGTGTAGTGTGTTGAAAACAGGAAGCCTTGAGCTTGGTTTAGTAATGATCATTCACTTAGCTAATGAACTGAGCTTGAGCTTGAATTTCAAACTCATTTCTCAAATAAGTAGAGCCTAAACATACCCGAGATTGGCTTGCCAGGCTTGTGAATAGTTACATTTGAATGTAACACAATATAATGATATACTATTAGTCTATGATATACATGCCAAGGCTCAAGGCTAGTATCTATGGTCCTTCTTCCTCCATGCTTACATATTCTTAGCAATTAGATGATGCTCAATCCAACAATCATCCAATCGAAAAAAGGGTTCTGAGAAAACCGAACAGCCGTACATGGAGAAAGATGCAGTTTCTTTATATATGAGATATAATTATTTTTCTTAAACCTTTCCTAGAAGGATTTTTCCCCCTCTACAACCTTTTTTTATTTTCTAATTCGAAGAAAGATATATATAAGACAAGGTTTTCTAGAAATATTTCGTGGTTCAAGCCTTCAATTTCGGGTCCAGTCCTTTTAAATTCAGTTCGGCTTGCCCTCATAGTAACCAAGCTAAACCAAGTGGAGCTTGAACTTGCTTAAAACCAGCTGAGCCAAGTTGGAATCTCCTGCAAGTTCAAGCCCAGCTTGAATGAACTCCTTGATCGACTAAGCAAAGCCTGACAGGTAAGTACAAGGTTTTGGGCTCATCGTAATTAGTTTGCAGCCCTACCAGGAATATATGCTCTAAAAAAACTTTATGCATCTTTTTCCAGAATCAGTACCCGATGACTGAAAATATAGAAGATCAAGGAAACAAGGATTGGTAAATTACCTCTGACAGTTTCGCCAACTTTGTCATGAGGTGCGATAGAACAGTTTCTCTCAATTGTTTGTCACCTAATTCTATTGTTGAAAGGGACTTTAAAGCAGCAACTTCATCTTCCTGTGATCCATAGCCTTTGGCTTCATCAAACGAAACAGCGTGCAGTCTGATATCTTCCATCAAGTTAAGATAAGGATCAACCTGCCAAAAGGGAGAACTATTTGCATAAATAAAAACATAGAATTAACAGAGAGATATCAAAAGCAAATAGCACAAATTATTATTTCACTTCAAAAATAAATAGGAAATAGTTAAATGAGCCTATATCTGAAGATAAGGAGTTGAAGTTACTGTTTCATCTGTCAAAGACGATTTAATAAGAGGAATTAACTCAGGAAGATTGCCCGCCCTGGCTGAAAATATAAGCATGCATGATGCCATAGTGAAGAGAGACCTTCTGCGAGATGGTTGCAAACCTCCTTCAATACGCATGCAAGAAATTTAGATAAGAGAAATAATTCACCACATTAATAATGTGTGTAAATTCCAATAAAAAGGTTTCACTCCCTAAAAAAAATAACTTGATGAAAGCATTCTCTCCCTTAATTTCTAAATTAGTGTTTGGCTGTTAAAATTATTAATTTTTTAAGGATAATTACCAATAGGTCCTATTGAGTGGACTTATTTACTCACAAGTCCTAAGTGTTTTTTTTTTATATACTTATTTTCCCCTTGTTTTGATAGTTAGAAATTTTTGAGACTATTTAGATGTGTTTTGTGTTTGTTGA